ATTTACTGTCTGCGGAGCACTTTGGGAAATCCGATATTTGTGGCAGGTTCTGCACTCAGAGCTCTGTTCGCGACAAACGACACGCCTTCCGGTCGCCCACTATTTTAATTCCCCCGCCCACTGCCTGGGTGATATGTCCATCCTGGGCCTCCCCCAGTGTCACAATGACACCACCCATAAACTGGAGGAGCAACACCTCATATACCACCTCAGGAGCCTACAACCCAATGGCCTAAACATAGAATTCACCAGTTTTAAAATCTCCCCACCCCCGGCGTCATCACATGTCCAACCCTCCCTCTCATCCCCGCCTCCTTGGCCTGACACAAACTGTCCGTCTTCTCTCCCACCTATCCTCCCCCTTCCATCCCACTGACTAATCTTCACCACTCCCTACCTGCACTCACCTATCACCATCCCACCAACCTTCCCCAGCCCCACCCCTCCTCTCTATTTATTTCTGAGCTCCCTTCCCCCACACCATTTCTGAAGAAGGGTCCTGATCCAAAATGTCAACTTTCCTGCTCCTCTGATGCTGCCTGACCTGCTGTGCTCCTCCAACTCCATACTGTGTTATCTCAGGCTCCAGCACCTGCAGTTCTTGCTATCTCCACACAAATGCATGTTTTCCTTTCTCTCCAATGGATTTACTTGTGGTCACCGCACTATAGGAAGGAGTTGATTGTGCTGGAGGGGGTGCAGTGGAGATTCACCAGGATATTGCTTACGATGGAGCATTTCAGTGCTAGAGAGAGGCTGGATAAGCGCGGGCTGCTTTCCTTACAGAAGAGAAGGATGGGGGGAACCTGACTGAGGTGGATAAGATAATAGGTGCATGGACAGAGTCGATAAGAAGCAGCTGATCCAGTTAGTTGAAAGGTCAATAACAAAGGGGGGGGGGGGGGTCGTTTTAAGGTGAAAAGTGGGCCCAGCGTGGACCCCGTGGGGATAGACAGTGGGCCCAGCGCGGACGCTATAGTGATGGAGAGTGGGCCCAGTGCGGATCCCACGGTGGAGAGTGGGCCCAGT